GCCATTTTAACTCTTAAGGTGCGTCATTTCAACACTTAATTAAGGTGCACCTTTTTAATACTTAAGGTGCGTCATTTTAACACTTAAGGTGCGTCATTTTAATACTTAAGGTGTGTCATTTTAATACTTAAGGTGCGTCAATACAACACTTAAGTGCGCCAATTTGAAACTTAAAGTGCGTAAGTTTGAACCTTAAGAGTGCATCATTTCAACGATGCTAAGGTAAAAGGAAATCATTTGCATCAAATTCTCAGGAAGCGCGTTTTTTTTTTTCTTCATTTGGACTGTTGATCAAGATTAGATTAACGACGATTCAAATCTCACCGCATCTTTCACCTGGAAGACTCTTCACAAGTGAACCATCCCCTTCATATATATATATATATATATATATATATATATATATATATATATATATATATATATATATATATATATATATATTAGTATTTTTTTATGCGCGATGCGCAAAAATAGGTGCCCAATATTAATATATTATATTAAAATTTTAAATTTATTTAGATTTTAGATATTTAAATTATTCATAATAATAATAATAATAATAATAATAATAATAATAATGTAAATCATTTTTATAAATTTGATATTTATATTTTATGTAATAATTAACATACAACTCAAATATATAATGTTTATTTATTATTATTAATTAAGAAGATAAGAAAATATATGGTGGATGCATGTGCATGGTAAAAATAGTGGAAAAGATAACGGAAGTTATAACGGTAGGGGTATGTTTGTCCAAAATATTTTATTGTACAACCTTTACAGCATAATGTACAAAAAAACTTAATGAAAAAAAGGAAAATAAATCAAGGGTATAACTTTCATTCATACTTATTATGTTTTTAGATATATATATATATATATATATATATATATATATATATATATATATAGAGAGAGAGAGAGAGAGAGAGAGAGTGCTTTCTCCCCTAAATTGAGGTCTAATCTAGCTAGTGCAAATAGGGTCCTGACTTAAGGATTTAGTGCTTCTAAACCAAACATTTATGCAGCCCACTTACTCAAAAAACGACCTGGCGTTGTAATCCTTTTACGAATATATATTTATTAGTCATTGGGTAGGCACGTACGGAGTAATATTATTTTTCTTCTGCCGCCGGCTAGATATACAGTGATTGCAAGAGCAGCCATGTTTTTTTTTGTGAGTACCATTGACTTTCTTATAATATAGTATCTATTTATGATTATTATTTTCTCAATTTATTAAAGCATAAAGAGTTAATATTGCTCTCGGTGAGACTCAAACTTATAACTTTTTATTTGGAAGAATTACTAGACCATAAGATTAATTCTTGAAAACAATAGCATTTTTTTTTTTTGAATTATAACATTTTTCATCCTTCAAGTAACTATATACTCCATATTTTTTGTCCGGCATTTGTTTATAAAGTCTGCAATTTTTTTGTTCTTCGTCAATTGTCAGTAAAATGATTTTTTACCACAATCATAACAAAACTCATGGACCAAAATAACTTTGTAAATAAATAAAAGACAAAAAGGGAAAATAAATATAATTAAGGAATGAAAAGTATTGTTAATTTTCTCTCAATTCTGTATTTCTCTACTTCTCCATTTATAATTGTTCTTTTCTTTTTTTTTTTTTTTTTTTTTTTTTTTTTTTTTTTAAATAAACCACCAGTATAGTGGGATATATGTTTCTCAATTTCTTAATTTATTTATAAATGTTTATAACAAACAACATTTGAGACATTTGTCGGTAAATAGAATTCAAGAGGTTGATGAGATAAAAAGTTTTTGATACCATGACAAGCTCGATTTTTCATTAGAACAATCAATTTCGAATAGAGTATTTAATTTTAAAATTTTAATAATTGACAAGTAAAAGCGAAATGTGATTATACTTGTGACAAAAAACCTGAGTGCGTTTGAGAGGGTGCACAAGCAGCTCGGGACTCAAAATATACCTTTTTATGGTAGTTGCTTTATTACATGCACAATTTATAAGTATAAAATTTTTTATTAAATGAATGTGATCGGTTCCTAATTTGTTACTCCGTATTAGTTAATTATAAAATCGTTTTAAATGAACTACTAAGCTCACAGCTAAAAAAATAATACTATTTTCGACCTGGCACTCAAAAAGTGGACATACAATTTTATTTATTTATTTTTAATACTGTATTGTTAATGGAGATTAAATACAAATTGACCAAAAATTCTAACCACCCAACGAATGGGTGAAAAAATTCATTATTCTACAAAAATAAACATAAACTATTAATTTTTTTTTTTTTTTTTGAGTAGTACTGACTCATGTTACAATGTAGTATCTGTTCATAGCTACTTTCTCAATCTACTGAAGTACAAAAAGCCAATAGTCCGCCTTCACTAACGCTCAAACCCACAATATACCACATAAGGGAGCAACTTGGTACCAATGGAGCAACATAATTTATTAATTAATTGAATATGTATGTAATACATCTACCACATAAGGGAGCAACTTGATACGAGTGGAGCAACATAATTTATTGGTTTTTTTTTTTTTTTTTTTTTTTTTTTGAAAACACAATTTATTAGTTAATTGAATATGTACGTAATAAAATATATGGCAGTCTTAAAGAATGGTCCATCTTTAATTTCCATTACCACTAATGACGTTTTAGTACATTTAATAGTTATTTCAACATCAAGCCGGCCTCTTGCTAATATCTATCAAAGTTCAGCAGGGCATTTACCTACCTACCTCAATCCCCTGCAATATATATACTATAAAATCAAATTTTAATTACTAAATAATAGTTACTTACAAGTGGTCTATTATGATCGCAATTAACATTTAATTAAACTATTTAGAGTGGTAGGTGGCTCCCCTGTAATATATATATATATATATATATATATATATATATATATATATATATATATATATATATATATATATATATATATATAGAGAGAGAGAGAGAGAGAGAGAGAGAGAGAGAGTTCAGTTCCCGTGCGGTTGGGCATGTCTCATGCGATTGTGCGGTTACATCTGAGCCATTGATCTTGCCTAAATCAACGTCCAGGATTAACAGTGATTAAAAAAAACGCGCGGTGATAATTTGATCTTTTTGCATCTAGGTCAAATTTAAGGTGCGTGATTTTTCTTCTTAAGATGGGTATTTTTGTGCTTAAGGTGAGTGATTTTTGTACTGTGTGGCAAAAGGTGTGTCAGGTGTTGAAAATTTAAGAGCGTCTACCTAAAGCTTTAGGTGTGTGGTTTTCCTTCTTAAGGTGTGTGGTTTTTGTGTTTAAGGTGCGTCAGTTGTTGAAACTTAAGGTGCGTCGGCCTAAAGCTTTAGGTGTGTGGTTTTCCTTCTTAAGGTGCATGATTTGTATGCTTAAGGCGTGTCAGTTGTTGAAACTTAATGCGTGTCATTTTAAAACTTTAGGTGTGTGGTTTTTGTTCATTAAGATGCTTTGTTTGTGTGCTTAAAGTGCGTGGTTTGTGTACTTAAGGTACACCATTTTAAAACTTTAGATGCATGGTTTGTGTTCTTAAGGTTCTTTGCTTGTGTGTTTAAAGTGCGTGGTTTTTGTACTTAAGGTCCGCGATTATAATGCTTAAGGTGCGCCTTTTTGGGTTAACCGCACAACCGCATGGGAAGTTATATTTGCACCTGATCCATCCCAAGAGTGAGATTCAATTGACTTGATGATAGATGTCATTTAACTAGGAGGAAGTCTTTCTCAAGGTTAATCCACACTCTAAGAACACATAATGACATTCTTGACTCATGAGTGTCTAAGAGACATTTCATCAAACACCTTGGTCTTGACATCCCAAACTCCCCTTTTCTCAATCGATTGTAGCTTTGTTTACAACTAATGTAGAATACATGGCTGTGATTGAGGCTAGAGGCTTTGTGGCTTCAGGTTTATTTAAGGAATTGAGTATTGAGCAAAGTGGAGTTCAAATACATTGTCCCAAAGTGTCATCCTTTTAGCTAAAAATTAAGTATATCATGCCATAACCAAGAATATTGATGTAAGGTTCCATAAGGTTAGATAGTTGATTGCTTCAGATCTGGTGAGATTGTGTTGCAAAAAATTCATACTGGTGAGAACGCAACAGACATGTTGACAAAGACAATTATCATTAACAAGTTCAAGCTAATTATAGCATTAAGAAGATTTGATCACAATCGTACATTGTCTAATTCCAATTACTCGTATTAGACCACAATTCTCACCTGGGGCATGGTTCTCATGGGAGTCAGACCTTATATTTATTAAAAAATTAATAATTGTGAATGAATGTTATACCCTTTATTTATGTCCGTTTTTTTGTTACGTTTTCTTTATACATTATGCTATAAGAGTTGTTCTATACAATATTTTGGACAAACATACCCCTACCGTTATAACTTCAGTTATCTTTTTCACTATTGTTACTATGCACATGCATGCACTATATATTTTCTTATCTTCTTCAATAATAATAATAATAATAATAATAATAATAATAATAATAATAATAATAATAATATGGTGGTTTTGTGTATCATGGTAAAAAAATATAAATATGGTGGTTTTATGTATCAAGTATGAACTGTGAATTAAACAGCCTTATTTTTTTAAAACAGGGACAATTATTTTGCTCCTTAATGGAGACCAGCTGTGCTAAATTTAGTCCAAAAGGTTTGCAAAGGGCAATTAAGATTCAAGATATTTTTTCCTATTATAGTTTTCTAGGCCAGTAAAGGATAAGGTGATGACAAATGGTCACCTAGAGTCAACCCTGGAGACTGCTTCTACACATGCATAATTATATTATTATCAAGATCCAGGGCCCCAACCCTCAACTTGGTTAAACCCCAACACCTTAGTTAGTGGAAGAAAAGGAAAAAGTATAGTATAACAAATCAAATCAAAATCCTCAAGGTGGCTAGCTAGCTGCAGCTTCCTATAGTTCAAAATTTTGCTATAAATATGGGCCTTTTGGATCTCTTCTCCTCACTGCATTTAATTGTTTCTTCTCTGATCTTATAATCTATACAGTTGATCTCATTTTCCTGCATTTTGGATTGCTGTAGTATAGGCAGGCATGGGTTTAGGGATAAGGAACTTGTGCATTTTCCTGTTTGTTACAGTGATTTTACCTGTGATGTGCTATAGTGAGCAGATAGAAAATTCTCTCTACACTAGAGCTACCTATTATGGAAGCCCAGATTGCTATGGAACTCCAAGTATGTGTTCCTTTTAATTTGCATATAATTTCCTCTATCTGTCCATTTTAATTTCATATATATATATATATATATATATGTGTGTGTGTGTGTGTGTGTGTGTGTGTGTGTGTGGACATATAACATAGTAATTATAGATACATAATATATTGTTAAAATATTATGTGTTTGTAGTTAACATGTTATTTTGGATTAGAGTTCACAATGCATGGTAGTCTTGAGTCCAGGGTATAATTTGCTATTTTCTTGAACATATATTTAATCAAAAGTATAATTAATTTAAAGCATTATATTGGCTGATGAGAAAATTAAATAACTTTAATTATTTTCAGGTGGAGCATGTGGGTTTGGTGATTATGGACGCAATGTGAATGGTGGTAAAGTGAGTGGAGTCTCTAGTAGGCTTTACAAGAATGGAACTGGCTGTGGTGCATGCTATCAGGTATACTTCATCATCTTATTGAATGGTTGATTAAGACTACCACCAAAATCAAATTTATTATGAGAAAATTCCATAAGTCTCTATTAGAACATGTTGGGACAAAACAAACTCTAATCACTGCTCGAAATTATGAAATTTCTGACCACTTTTGGTATTCAGAAAAACCATTGTTGCTATTTTTGACAATTTTTTGCTTTCGACTTGATTTAAGATTACTTTCAGATGGTCGGAAATTCCATAATTTCCAACAGTGAATTTTGATCGATTTCAAATGTAAAACATAGTAAAATTACATGATTGACACAGGTGAGGTGCAAGATTCCGACACATTGCAACGAGGAAGGTACGAAGATGGTGGTAACGGACTATGGCGAAGGAGACAGAACGGACTTTATCCTGAGCACACGTGCCTACTCGGAAATGGCTAACCCGGGACTGGCCAATGAGCTCTTCGCATTGGGTGTCGTCGACATGGAATATCGCAGGATTCCCTGCCGTTACAATGGCTATAATCTTATGATCCAAGTTCATGACAAAAGCGACTTCCCTAATTACATAGCCATTTTGCCACTTTACCAAAGTGGATTATCTGATATTACAGCAGCTCAAATTTGGCAGGTACAATAATTCCCCCTTGGTCAAGGACAACCATGCACTAACTATAGTTCTACTATCTTATAACTATATGAAACATTGTTAATTTCGTGGGATTGACTCTGATACCAAATTTAAACATATGATTCATCTCAACTAAAAGTCTGATTGTGAGAACTGTGGTGCAGGCGGATTGCAAGGAGTGGAGGGACATGAGAAGGGTATTCGGGGGAGTATATGACTACCAAAACCCTCCCAAGGGATCACTACTCTCATTCCGACTCCAAACAAATTTGAATGGCAACACAAAGTGGGTGGAGGTGTTGGACGTTTTGCCCCAACAATGGAAGGCTGGCGTTGCATACGATACCAACATTCAGCTTGACTAACTTAGGCTCAATGTCTGTGCTGCTAAACTTTTTTTTTTCTTTTTGTTTTGTTTTTGTGTTTTTGTTTTGTTTTGTTTTTTTTTTTTTTTGTTTTTTTTTGTTATTTTTTTTTTACCAATGTTGCATGTTTTGATCCATTTAGAAAAATAATGTAGGTCACAACTTTTACTTCTTTCTTTTTCTTTTATCAATAAAATCATAACAAATCATAATGGTCGTAAACGAGAAAATTAAAAATTGTGACTAACTCTATTATGATGTAATATCTATTCATTTGAATTTCCTCTACTGAGGTTTGAACACATAATCTCCCAAGGAAACAATTTGAATTGGTGTCATTGGACCACAAGGTCCTTGGCAATTGGCAACAAATAGACTTTTTAAACTATTAAAAAGAGCAAATACCAATTTTGGTCCCACGAGTATTAGCAAAATGACAGTTTTGATCCACATGTTTAATTCCTACCAATTTTCATCCACGACTATTGTTTTAGTACAACTTTTTGTTCATAACTATTGTTTTAGTGTCAAAACTCATCATGCCAATCACTCATTCGTTTAAGACATGCCGAAATATGAAATTATTAATGGTAGTTTTGTGCTTTTCAAATTAGGATCCCTAGTTGAGCATGAATAAAGGGATTTAAGCCCTAAGATCTATCCCAATTCGTAGTTCTTTTCCTCAAATTAAGGTAGGATGAGGAGGAGAACTGAGAATTGAGATCGATCTTAGGGCTTAAATTAATTGAGGAAGGTATGAATTTCCCTTGAAGATGACTTTCTGTCTCGTAACCAAAAGTAACATTTCCTTTAACATACCTCAAAACTCTTTAATTGTTCCCAGTGTAAAACTATAGGAGCATGCACGCGCTGACACAACTGATTGACTAAAATGGAAAGATCAGGACGAGTGATAGTTAAATATTATAATGCGCCAGCCAAACTCCTATACTGTGTAGGATCATCATACAATGTTGTATCAAAGACCACGGTTTTCGAAGTAGAAATAAGAGTAGATTGTAACACCCTGTGTTACGGCCTCTAAACCAATTAATTATTTAATCATTTACCCAAAAGAAAGAATTAAATTCCATTAATTAATTAGGAAAAGTCCCCCGTGAATCCTTATCCCTAAAACCAATCCCTTAGTCCTATAAGGAATAGAATTAGCAAACTCATATCATTTAGACCCTAATTGGGACTCTTAGATATATAAATAGGGGCATAAGAGGCACCTAGAATCCACACCACAATAACTTTCACCACACAAGAATTCCCATAGGAGAAATCAAGAAAGAAGAGATCTTAAAGGAAGACCCTTCATAGCCAAGGAATTTAATTAAGGCTAAGAGGTAACCCATGTCTCAACAAAACCTATTTTCTTTGCTATAATCTTCTCCTTTTGCCTCCTTCTATATGCTTGTGTAACTCTATTATGATGTAATATCTATTCATTTGAATTTCCTCCACTGAGGTTTGAACACATAATCTCCCAAGGAAACAATTTGAATTGGTGTCATTGGACCACAAGGTCCTTGGCAATTGGCAACAAATAGACTTTTTAAACTATTAAAAATGAGCAAATACCAATTTTGGCCCCACGAGTATTAGCAAAATGACAGTTTTGATCCACATGTTTAATTCCTACCAATTTTCATCCACGACTATTGTTTTAGTACAAATTTTTGTTCATAACTATTGTTTTAGTGTCAAAACTCATCACGCCGATCACTCATTCGTTTAAGACATGCCGAAATATGAAATTATTAATGGTAGTTTCGTGCTTTTCAAATTAGGATCCCTATTTGAGCATGAATAAAGGGATTTAAGCCCTAAGATCTATCCCAATTCGTAGTTCTTGTCTCAACAAAACCTATTTTCTTTGCTATAATCTTCTCCTTTGGTCTCCTTCTATATGCTTGTGTCTAGATGAAATCTCGTATGATAATTACGATATGATCTTGATGATTGATGAGATGATTTTATGTGTGATCTTGATGATCTTGATGATGATAAGAGGATCTTGATGATCGTGAATTTCGTATTGAGATGTTCTTGGTATATTTGGGTGGGAATTCACATGTTCGGGTGTTGATTATGTTTAGAAGTCATGATAGGATGTGCTCTATTTGATTCTTGCTTTTGATTAGTTAATTGTCTATGTGGTGTCATCAATTGCGTTTAAAAGTGTCTAAGCATGGTTTCGGGTTCAACGGAGGATCCCGGGACGTATATTTTGGAAAAGAGTCAGTGGGGGGTAGGGGGACCCGCCACCTACCCGCTGCCCGAAGTAACGCGACCGGCAGCGGGCAGCCGGTGGGCAGACGACTGCCCGCCGGGCACCCGCTGCTTGGAGGACCATCGCCAGCGGGCAGCCGGCGGGTGGAGGGCGCTGGAATTTGCCCACTTTGAGACTTCGGCTTCCCCGTTTGATGTTTTCCCGACCCTCGTGGTGTCTCAACGAACTCCGTTTGTCGTGCCTGAGTCTAGTTTGATGTTTCAGGTACCATTTGTAGGATAAAAGAGTCTTTGTGTATCGCATGCTAGTTGAATTGGTACCCCGTTGGCCTAGGTGAAAGATGTATGAACCCCTTAGGATTATTCCTAGTATGTGGATGACCACGCATAGGTTTCTTTATACGTTTTCTCCCCTTCCCAATGTGCCAATATGTGCTTACTATGTGTTATGTGTGCATGATACCCCAATTTGGTTGCGATCAAATTGGGTATACACGAGCTGCGGTTCGTTATCTTGGCTGCGGCCAAACTGGTTACTCATGTGCTGCGGTTTATTCTCCTAGCTGCGGTCAGTGACTCAGTTCTAGGGCTGCGGTCCACATGGGCCTCGTGTGCTATGGTCCACCGACTGGACGCGCCAGGCGGTGCGTAGGGCCACTAGCCCGAGGAAGGCCATAGCCCACCGAATGAGTTGTCAGGCGGTGTGTAGGGCTATGGTCGGCTGTGATCCACCGAGTGTATGTGCCAGCGGTGTGTAGGGTCGTAGTCCCCAAAGATCATCGCCCACCGAATGAGTCCCTCAGGCGGTGTGTAGGGCTTTGATTAACTATGACCCACCAACTGAGCTCGTCAAGCGGTGTGTAGGGTCGCAGTCCCCAAAAGAGGATCACAGTCCACCGACTGAGCACGTCAGCGGTGTATAGGGCTGTGATCCGCCGTTGAAGCTATCGACGGTCTATACAATTGGTTGCGGTCAATTCCTTCATGCTGCGGTGTGAGGTAGGGTGCTGCGGGGCCGTGTTAATGCTATATGCACTAACCCTCATGTTTGGGGCATGCGATTGGTCCCGTGGCGCCACCAAAGTGTGCTTGTGTGACAAGGATGTTGATTGGATGATGATGTGATTGATTTGAAAGTGAACTGTGACCTTAGATACATGTTTTTATGATATTATCTCTATATAATTGATTATCATTGTTTAATGTGCTTATCCCTATCTGTCGAGTCTATTCCTGGTTTTAAAAGCTAGAGTCTCCTAAGTATATATCCTCCTGCTTCAAAATGGTTTTCCTATATATATATATATATATATATATATATATATATATATATATATATATATATATATATATATATATATATATATATATATATATATATATATATATATATATATATATATATATATATATATATACCTGTATTGTATTTCAACGCGTTGGAATGGGTTACCAGCATCATTCGCTGAACAGATATATTTGGCTTTCAGGCACAGATGAGTAGACCCCGGAGCGCGCTAGAAGATCCGAAGCATAGATTAGTTAGTTTTCCTTTCGGCCTGCGTGCCATGATGATGTATTAACATTACTTTAAGAATATTTAGTTAGTACAGCCTGTGCATCTGAGTTCTCCAGCTCAGATGTGGCATAACACCCCGCACATTTATGATTAGTGATGCGCTGTTTTGGGATTTAATGAGAAATTACCTTTATTATATAAGTTTTAAAAGTTTCGAAAATCTGGGGTGTTAGATAGTTCTTTACATTCTGCCATTCCAACACGTTTTAGAATGTCATTCATGTATCTCTGTTGTGAAAGCAAAATTCCATCATTGCATTTAACTGTCTCAATTCCAATAAAAAAAATCCAGGTTCACCAAGATCTCTAATTTTGAATGCAGTAGAAATTTTTGACACTAAGTGAGTAACTAGATCTTGATTACTTCCCATCATAAGTATATCATCCACATAAACTAACAGATATACACAATCATATTCCTGTAAGTAGTAAAACAAGGATACATCCGTTTTTTATGCTTCAAAACCAATAGATAGTAAAAAGGTGTGCAAATGATTAAACCAAGCCCTATGTGCCTGTTTTAATCAGTAAAGAGACCTTTTTAGCAAGCAAATGTGATTTGGATACTGAGCATCAATATAACCAAGTGGTTGCTTCATGTACACAATTCAGATAGATTTCCATTTAAAAAGGCATTATGAATATCAAGTTGCCTAACAGTCCACCAAGATGATAAAGCCAAAGAAAGAACCTGACAGTAGTTGGCTTGACCACTGGAGTGAAGGTGTCTAAGAAATCTTGCCCAGGCAGCTGATTGAACCTTTTTGCTACTAGTCTTGTCTTATGTCTCTCAATGGAGCTATCTGTCTTTTGTTTTGTACGAAAGACCCACTTACATCCAATAATATTTATACCTGCCTGTGATGGTACGAGAGACCATGTTCGATTCTAAAGGAGGGCATTAAATAATTGATCCATAACTTCACGCCATTCTGGTTACTTAATTGCCTGAGTGTAACAAGTGGGATCCGAAAGACGAACCTGAACTGTTAAAGCTAATGGTGGAACCTGATACCGACTCCAAGTGTTCATCACGTGAGCCTGGGCCGTAGACTTCACGGATTTGCCGCGAGGTTGGCCACGAGGCCGTGAAGCCGGCTAGACAGGTTGGTCATGCGGCTTGTGCTCGGGCTGGCTGGCTGGCTCGTTGGCGGTGTGCAGCTGTGTCGCCACTAGGTGCGATATTGATGGTGCCGTGGGACTGCTCAGGCGAGTCAGCGACGGTAGCACTCGGACAAAGAACCGATTCAGCCCATGGGTAAGTCTGTACCGTTTGAGAAGCTTGCAATTTATTTTTAGTAGCAAAGGGATATACTGCCTCATCAAACCTTACATGCCTGCACACATAAATCTTGTTAGTCTGTAAGTCCATGCACCTATACACCCGAAACGACTTAGGATAACCTAGGAAGACACATGGAGAGGACCAATATGACATTTTGTGGCGATTGTATGGTCTAAGATAAGGGTAATATAGACACCCAAAGACACGAAGAAAAGAGTAGGAAGGATGGGAGTTATGCAATTTCGAATGAGGACTGGAGTTATTCAACACACTGGATGACATTTTGTTGATTAAATAAACTGCAGTTTCAAAAGCAAAACCCCAAAATTTATATGGAACAGAGGCACGGGCTAGGATAGCTAAACTCGTCTCAACTATGTGTCTATGTTTTCGTTCGACACGACCGTTTTGTTCATGAGTGTATGCACATGACCGCCTATGATTAATGCCTAGTTGCACAAATAAAGAATGTAATTTCTTATATTCAGCTCTTAGATCACATTGAATGGACTTGATTGTACAATTGAATGAACGTTCAACTAAAGCACGAAATTGATCAAATATGACATAAAGATCAGATTTCTACTTCATAGGAAAATACCAGGTGTAACGAGAATAATCATCAACAAAGATGACAAAATAACAATAACCGTTAGAGGATAGCAAAGGAGATGGTCCCCAAATATTAGTGTATATCAAATCAAGAACATCCGAACTATTAGACTCAACACGTGCCAAAGGGAAACGTGCAGATTTTGTCAATCGATATGCTGAACATAAACTGGAATTGCAACGAATAGTACGACTAGAGCACTAACCGAACAAGACTGAAGAATTTGACTAAGAACACGTTGATGAGGATGACCCAAATGATCATGGTACGAGCGGAGAGAAACGCGGAAGGAGACGAACTTGGAAAAGGCAAAGTGTATAGGTCACCCGAACTACTGCCCCGTAGGAGGATTTCCTTGGTGGTGATATCTTTCACAAGAAAAAAGGAAGGATCAAACACAAAGAACACATTATTATCTGTAGCAAAACGTTGAACAGATAATAAAGAGGTAGACAGACCAGGAACATGCAATATATCAGACATCATAAAAGACCTAGAAGGCATATTAAAAGTAACATGACCAACATGACTAATAGACAGACCCGGTCATACCATCACCGACACGTAAAGTGTCATTACCAGTGTACTTCTCTGAGGTAAAATGACATCTATGTCTGGAGTTGCATGATTTGTGGCTCCAGAGTCCGGAACCCAAGTATAAGAATTTGATGAGGTTTTAGCACCCAAACCATTCCGAAACACCAAATAAGCATGAGAACCTGGAGCCCCTGAATAACGCCGAAAACAATTGGCTCTCGTGTGACCAAAACCATTACAAATTTGACACTGTTCATCATAGCGTCGAAAACAATTGGCTCCCGTGTGACCAAAACCATTACAAATTTGACACTGTTCGTCAAAGCGCCAAAAACAATTGGCTCCCGTGTGCCCGAAACCATCACAAATTTGACACTGAACTTTAAAACCACGTCGCTGACTGGACCGCTTCTCATACGGTGTATCATGGTTCGATGCCATTGACTGCTGCTACGATAATAATTATTATTATTAATGACGACAATAATAATTATTATGAACCCTATCTAACTGATACCAGATGAGAACTGTATAAAATTGCATTGAATGAACTGTATAACAACTGTACAGACTGGGGAAATATATACAAGAGGAGATTAGGATAGTGAGTCATAATGTAACTCAAATACATAGAGTACTAACACTAGTCCTAATAATATGTAAAAATAAAAATTATTTACTAGCTTGGCTATCCTTATCTCAGCACTTTTCTCTCACTTTCTAAAATTGGTCTCACTTTCACATCATCAAATTTATAAATTATCTACTATTTATTCTACATCCCTGCAATATTCTCTCACTTTCTAAATTGGTCTCACTTTCATATATTATACTATAAATATAATAATAAAATAATGATAAAATAAATAAATAATAAATAAAAAAAAGAAGCAAAAGTTACCTTATTGGCGCAGCTTTTACTGCCCATTGCTGAAAAAGCTGTCAAGCAGCAGGAATAGCAAGCTTGCCAGCCAAGTGGCAACAAAAAAAATGAAAAATAACTTTAGCAATTCCATGTCACTCTGCACATCATCTTGCAAGTGACTGACTTTCGGGGTTAAGGACAGCTTTATTACCTCTTACAAAAGTATTTGGTTAAAAAAAAATTACAAATCATTATTCTGGAAAGGAATAAAAAATAATGTTATGTTTTAAAACAATACCTTTTATGAAAAAAAAAAAAATTGTTAACAATTAAAACAACATCAATTCCATCCATCGCCTAGGCATAAAGTAGTTTATTCATAATAAGGATATATGTGTTCAAAATACTGAAAGTACAACATCAAAACAGAAGATCCAAAGAATTTAGATGGATATAGGAGACGTAACGTAACGTTTACTCCCTCTCATTACATATATAGATAGGAAAAATCAGTTTTGTGGTCGAGTCATCTTCCTAAGCTCATTTTGAAATTTTCCCATAATTATTGGAGGCAAAGCTAATGCCACCAATTTACCCTTTGGGTCTTCCATCCTTTTATGAGGTAACAAGAACCCAACTCCATAAACAACACCATAAACGCTACCATATATAGGCTTACCCCATCCAAAATCCACCTCGTCATATCCAAATCTTGAATTGTCTGTTATTAAGAAGTTCTTTATGATAGTCGCCCTTGGTCGGCCCCTAGTCACCAAAAGATTTGTAATCGATTTAACATAATCGTCGTTAACAGCATTTTTAGCCTCCCTAATCAACTTGGCTGCGTATGATATCGGATTTGAACACAACAATTTGGCTGTGGTTACTGCGGCTGCCGACACGACGCCATTACCGTAGTATCCAAGGGGCAGTTTGGGGTCCTGCAATCTTTCTCGTATATTCACAGCAATGGTCAATATCATCGTTGAATCAGGGTCTGGTCGGAGAGCAATGGTACGACATTTCCATAAGCACGCAGAAAGTGCCTCGAATGTGGTACTTGAGGGGCATTGGTCCTTGATAGCTTGCAGCTCTCTTGACCCAAAAGTGAAACAACGTTTGATCAAGAGGGAGTGAAATATATGTTTGCTAAAACACACACAAGGGTCACTCGCTAGCTTTTTTGCGTTGATGAATTTGGAGGTATGCAAGAATTTTTCGAAGTCCCACCACCTTTTAGCCTTGGATAAATCGAAATCCTTGAACTCGTTGTGTTCGCAGGTGATGGTTGGGGTTGGCCTTGCAGTTAAGAGGCCTCTCTCCCAAATGGGAAGTGTTGATGGAACAGAAGCACCCTTTGCAAGTTCACTCACTGCATTTACAAACTGAATGAACCCTTGGCCATCCATCATGGTATGGTTGAGCCGAATTCCCAATGCAAAGCCACCACAAGTAAAACGGGTTACCTACATCATAGTACATAATAGAGTGACTGCTAAAGTAAAGTATTAAATCATGAAGTAATTCAAGAGAAAATAAATAAATAGCTCTCAATTATCTTACTTGGATAAGTAGAAGAGGGCAATCAATGATCCCATTGCAGCCAGGCACAGTGTTGAGGAGTTGCTTCAAGTATGGACATGGTGGCTGCATGGATTTATCACTTAGCTGCTCAACCTTAACATTGGCTTTTGCTTCAACAAACAAAACCCCTTTCCCATTGCAATTCACTATCAGTTTCCCATTCTCCCCTTCAAAAATCCTACCCGCCAAGGGATAGTAGAAAACAAGTGCTTTAGCTAACCCTTCTTTGATAGCCATTGCTGGATCTTCCCCTCTCCTTTCAACACTGTTCCTGTAAAACATCAAAACTGGAACATGAACTCGAATGCTGCCTTGATCGTCGATATCGGAAAGCGGTTTTTGTTCATGAGGTGTGGAAGTTGATGGCACGATAAGCTGAGGCTTGCTTCTTCTTACACGGAACCGCAGTGGAGCAGATAAACATGCCATTGAAATTGCAATTACAATTACAATATTAAAGAATCTTAAAGGTATTCGATTGCAGGCTTGCTGCTCGAGTTCAATCTCTAATATGAATATATAGTTGCAATCGATGAATGAGCAACCACAATAGGAAAGCTCATTTAAAGCTCACTTAAAGCTCACATGGCCTTTGGGCTTTGCGCCATGTGAGCTCAGTAGCTCATATGGGAGCATGTTCTCACCTTTGTGTGACTTGATAAGCCACAAAGGTGACTTAAGACTCTTGAGACTTGAGTCTGAGTCTTAAGACTCTCACTCATGAATTAAAAAATAATAAATAAAATAAAAATTTGACGGTTAGAATCGGCGGTTCGAATTGGATCTGGAACCTTAATATAAGGTTTTGGTTCCGATTTCGCCATCCAAGGAATTGGAATTGAACCGAAACTAGAACCTTGGTCATCCCTACTTATGTTATGAATTATGTGTTTTGTGTTGTGAAATTTTGTGCGTATGAACACAAATTTTGTACCTAAATCAGATTTGTATATAACATGTGTATGTAGTGTCTTGTGTTGTGATTTTTTGTGCATTATTGTGTTATGAAATTATGTATCTTACGAATATGAATTCTGTACCTATTCGTTGATGTATATGTGTATGTGTTTTATATTGTGAGTTTTTTATATTTTGCATGTGTTATGAAATTTTGTACCGTAAGAATATGAATTTTATACCTTGAAACAAATTAGTAGTTTTGTCTTATGTTATGAATTTCTATGTCTTGTGTTGAGAAATACTATGCCTATGAACACAGATTTGAAAAATAAGTAAATATATAACATATGTATGTCTTGTATTGTTATTTATTATATCTTGTATTATGAAATTCTGTATCTTACTAGTATGAATTTTGTAGTACTATGTGGACCTTGAGCCATAATATAATTAATTACCAATTTCTTGAGCGAAAGGTTTGGCAAAAGTGCTGTGCAGCCTGTGCTATTCATTTTTGCTTATTGAGTTCTAGTATGGGGACTCCCCAATTTTATTTCATCAATTATATTTGCTGATGTGATAAGTATGGATAGGACATTTTCATCTTGTGAGTCTAAGAAAAGTTGTCTACATTCAATTCACTAATGAAAATTATGAAATTTCCGACCACCTAAAAGTGGTTTTAAATCAAGTCGAAAGCCTTGTTCCGACCACTTTTGGTATCTGGAAAAACTTTTGTTGCTATTTCTGACCATTTTTTGCTTTCGACTTGATTTAAGATTACTTTCAGGTGGTCGGAAATTCCATAATTTCCAGTAGTGCAAGATTTATGAAAAAAATAAAAATTTAAAAGTCCAAGTAGTATTTTTATTTATTATTATGCTTTAATTACATAACGTGCAAATATCTCACACGTACTCTACGCTTTAATCACTCTCACTGAATCCTTCCCTGGCAAGGTCTAAAAGCTGGCACAAATTAAAGAAGAAGAAATATGGCGTGATTGCTATCAAGAAAATGCTTACACCTATTGAGGTACTATAGTTGGTTCAATGGTATGACAATAAAAAAAAAAAAAGTTTTGTGATGTGAATGTCCTTAATTGTACTTTGATTTATATTGCTTATTGGACATATAGTTTTGTTAGGTAGATCTACAATGCGGCAGCTGTCTTCGTCTGCCCACTCTATCCCACTCCCTTATATATATGTATGTATGTATGTACGTAAGTACATACTTGTTTTTTACGCGTATTGCGCGAGTTGAATAATGTCCAATGTTTATTTTAAAATAATTATTTCAAAGTATATCAATGCAAGATTATATAGGAGATGTAATGTATCGGTATTTGAATGTTGAATTTGTTTATTTAAATCGTTAATTCAAAGTATATGAATGAAAGATAATATAAGAGAGTGATAAGTGTGTTTATGTCCATATTTCTACCTCATATATAAACCTATTTTGAGTGAAAGATACTTTGATTTTATGCAAAATGTGCCTTAATTCATTTGTTTATATCCTTAGGTACATAAATTGTTAATTTGAAGACAATCGTAGGTCTTTCGGGACATTCTGAATTAATCTCGAGTTACCCCATCCAAAATCCACCACATACAGGCTTACCCCATCCAAAATCCACCTCGTCATATCCAAATCTTGAATTGTCTGTTATTAAGAAGTTCCTTAGTATAGCCCCCATTGGTCTGCCCTTAGTCGCAATAAGATCTATAATCGATTTAATATAATCGTCGTTAACAGTATTTTTAGCCTCCCTAATCAACTTGGCTGCGTATGATATCGGATTTGAACACAACAATTCGGCTGTGCTTACCGCCGCTGTCGACACTACTGCATTACCATAGTATCCAAGGGGCAGTTTGGGGTCCTGCAATCTTTCTCGTATATTCACAGTAATGGTCAATAGCATCGTTGCATTAGGGTCTGGTCGGAGAGCAATGGTACGACATTTCCATAAGCACGCACAAAGTGCCTCGAATGTGGTACTTGAAGGGCATTGGTCCTTGATAGCTTGCAACTCTCTTGAGCCAAAAGTGAATGAACGTTTGACCAAGAGGGAGTGCCATATATTTTTGCTAAAAAACACACAAGGGTCACTCGCCAGCTTTTGTATGTTGATGAGTATGGTGGTACGCAACAATTTTTCGAAGTCCCACCACCTTGTAGTCTTGGATAACTCGAAATCCTTGAACTCGTTGTGTTCGCAGGTGATAGATGGGGTTGGCCTTGCGGTCAAGAGGCCTCTCTCCCAAATGGGAAGTGTTGAAGGAACAGAAGCACCCTGTGCCAATTCACTCACCGCATTTACAAATTGAATGAACCCTTGGGCATCCATCATAGTGTGGTTGAACCGAATTCCCAATGCAAAGCCACCACAACTAAAACGGGTTACCTACATGACAATGCATAATAGAGTCACTCTCCTGTAAGATCAATCCATGAGATCATCATAGTATGGTGAAGATGAAAATGTAATACTTATAATAGAAAGCGAGTGTAATAATTATGAATAAAAATGTAATACGTTTAGATCAAAATGTAAAAGTATTATATTTTTCGTATTAAATTTTATTTCCTAAGTTAGAAATACTTTATTTCTGATTTGTATTATATTTTTCACCCGTCCCACGGACAAGGATTCGTGAGACAGTCTCACACAAATTTTTTGCCTATTCGAACTTTTTTATTTTTTATTTTTAAAGATGGGTATTTTTTAACAATGCAAGTGGCTCTATTTTGAAAAATTAGTTTAAAACAATTTTGCTTTTGTAAATAGCCTTTCAAATTGCCTTAATTTGGGAAAAAACCTAGTTGAGATATTATGTTACTCTATATCTTTTAAATCATTTAATGACATGTCAATTCATTTGTAATAATGGAATCACACTAAATAATTTTTTTTCTTATAAAAGAAGAAAATGTGATAATACATCATTAGATCAATCATTCAATGATATAGTGAGAAAAATCATTATTTTGATCCCTTAATTGCTTCTCAACTATTAATGTAGTCCCCTAGTTTTCAATTTCAACTAATTTGATCCTTGAATTGTTTAAAATTTCATCAATTAAACTTCTGAGTGACCAAAATGGTGATTTCCCTATTTTTAAAATTTCATCAATTTGATCCTCGAAGAGTTTAATCAGTGATGTAAAAATCGGCTTAGGTTGCCGCCTGACAGAAGCGATTTCATCCCTTGGCGGCTTTTAGTTGGATGGCCGACTTACCAGCTGACAAGGCGCCCTAGGTGCCAAGTTGGGCGGCTAACTCCACCTAGTTGGTGCCCAACTAGGCTGAGTCGTCGACGCCCAATTGGGCCTAGTGGTATTTTTTGCATGTTCGGTTGCTCATCTTCTATATTCCTCAAGTCATGTACTCAAATAACCATGTATATGTAGTTGACTAGTTTATGGGATTATAACTGTTTAACAACTCATAGCCTTGAGTGGAAAAAGTGGAGGTGATATACTCGATCGCCTAGGAGGTGCCTAGGCGCTATGCACCTCTTGGTCGCCCGATTAGCGCCTAACGCCTTCTGCATTATTGGATTTAATTGACGAAATTTTAAACAAATCAAGTATCAGATTAGTTAAAATTGAAAACTAAGAACTACATTGACAATTGAAAAATAATTGAGTGATTTAAATGGTGATTTCCCTAATATAGCGGTTTACGAAAATAGCAAACCATGTTATTAAATGGGTGGAAGGTATATATATAATATCTACAAATCTAATAAGAGCCAATAATGTTAGGCCCTTAACTGGAACAAAAAAATGTCGGTAGTAGTTGTTTCTTAAAATGAATAGTTCATATTATTTTTGATTTTAGTATTTTTTAATGATTTTTCCTTATTTACCCTCTATTATATTATTTTCTTTCCTGAAATAACCCAAAATTTCGTTAATATAAACTTTAGTAACGAAATATTTCGTTAACTATTTATTATTCTTAACATAC